GTGTTTTTGCAGTGGTAGATGTCCATGGCTAGCAGATGTGAAACATATAAATTAAATCACAGATCTTTCAAGGAAAGATTCTGGTCTTTCTTTTAGTTCTTGGAGTTCGGATTGTATTGTGTCCTACTGTATGTGTATAAGCACCACGTTGTGCTGAGAATGATGCTATCCTGTAGCTCGCTGCTTTCATTACTTTGATTGAGTAACCATGTTCTGTGCGGTTAATTATTTTTAATTAATATCTTAATTTATTTTATTGTTCTCTTTGCAATTCCAGAACATTCAAGCCATTCCCAGGCAGTCTATTCAGATCATCAAGAAGCAATACGTACAAGGTAAACTACAAAGAGCAGGTTCTAACACCTGCTGTTAAATAACCTTTAGTGGCACCCAGAGGAGGGTGGAGAATTCACGAGATGACCTGGAGACGCCAATAACCAGTCATAGTCTGTGTTGTATATAGCACCAGTGAGGAGGCTGTCTCTCCATTACATCATGTGTGTACTGAAAAACTGCCACACGCTCAAAGTCTGCGATTACATTTTTTATGTCACCTAATTAACATTTCAGGCAGACGAGTCATTTCAGTGCCAATTTAACATGTGGTTTTTGGTTCCACTTAACTTACCGCTTGTTTCGTGCCCTGTGTTGTGCTTTCTGCTTCTGTTTCTCCCTATTTTTTTTTGTTACTGCTTTATTATTATTTTTTTTAATTGTTTTTTTCAATAGTTTCTGAAGAGATCTCTGAATTCTCAGAAAGCAGACGTGAGCTGACATACAATAGTACAACATCTCATTGCCCTGCAGGCTACACCTATGGGCTTCAAATTGTTTTTGGGGGATGCATATTTGTTTTTAGCTTCACCACCTTGCTTCCATTTTTTTAGAAGCTCTCAGTTATAGGAGCTTACAAATTTAGGGCGGCGCAGTGGCACAGTGGTTAGCAGTCCTGCCTCGGAGTGCTGGGGTCATGGGTTCAGTTTCAAGACCTGGGATGCTGTTTGTACAGTATCTTCTGTGTTCTCCCTGTGTTCATGCGAGTCTCCTCTGCGTGCTGCAGTTTCCTCTTAAAGTCCAAAAAAGGAGTTAATTGGATTCTGGGAACACTGGCCCAGGTGTGAATTGTGTGTGTGCCCTGCAAAGCTGTCCAGGTTGGATCCTGCCTTGTGCCCATTGCTTGCTGGGATAGGCTCCCAGCTGCCTGAATTGGACAAAGCAATTAGAAGATCGATAGATGGGCACTAGTGTTGTACTTTGTTTTGGTTCAGAAAAGCTGTGTGTCCAAAGCTGTGTGTCAGAGTCAGCACAGAGGAGCTAAATTAGCATAGTCCTTCGGTAGCACGATTTATTCAGAATGTATGCATCACTTTCTAATGCGTCACAAAGAGATCGATGGAACCTGCACCAGTTAAATACTAACAACTAAATGGGCTAGATGGGCATAATGGCTCTCTTCTCTCACCTTTCTTCTGTTCTTATCCTCCTACCTTATTAAATGTGGTTTGAAGAGACACAATGAGATCGCAATAGAGGAGGCACACTTGCGTCTAGTAGCTTGGCCTGGATCATCACCGAGTGTCAGGTGCAGTTGGGTATATACTGTAGGTGGGGGTGTAGAAGCACTATTATTGGTGATTCTATTGATGGAGCAACTTCTCACTTCTTGATCCTATCTACTGTGTTGGAGTATAATGGCTGCCATGCATCAGATCCCTTGGATAAAAGGCACTATATAATTCATTACATATAGGTTATAGTGGATTTTGTACACGCATCCATTTGAAATTGACGAATAACTTAACAACTGTGGGAAAACTATGCTCCCTATCCTTACTTTAACACAGATGTAAGAAGGTTCCATACATTTTTTTAAAAAATCTCTTGCCAAAAAAGGCACATTCAGTCATTAGCCTTCCTACTCCCTTCACCTTCCTGTACTGCAAATAGCAGAGGCACTGCTAGTGTCTGGTCTCTCAGAGGACACCAGGCACCTGGAAGCCACTGCTTCCTGGTTTCTAAATGTCACCTGAGAAATGTGGTTTTAGACAAGAACTGCAGAATCTTGTCTGAACATAATCACAGTCCTACACAGTATTGTGGAGTAATTGTTTTACCCCTGTGATATTTTTCTACACATTTTTATCTATCTGAAGATTTTGTAATTAGCACTTGATTTACAACATTTCACTCTATAATAAATGAGGCAGAAAGTGGATAGGGATTAATGATCCAGAGTATTAACAATTTCCCTGTCTCTGATTTGCTTTCTGATGCAAACATATACAGTATAACTAACATTTCTAAGGCTACAGTCCTCCACAGTAACTCACTCTGAGGTAATTAAAAGCTAGTTGGCTGTTCTTAATTACACATGATCATCAGTTCAGAAAAAAAAAACGTGCTTCTGTTACTGAGATATTTGGGATTCAGATGTCCTCGAGTTAACTTTTAATGCGTCAGATTTGTAGAAAGGCCCGTTAATTAAAACAGAATGTTGGCAACGTCAGGTCAATGTGTGTGCATCTTCTTATCCTGGCTATTCATTTCATCTGAAGGGGAGACCTAATGATTTCTAAACACTGACAAGGATGGAGCATGTACTGTGTTAAAGTGTTTATGACATTCACACTTATCCTTATTGCACACAGAATCAGAGAAATAGAATTTACTTTTCTCAGATGTAATGATTTTTTTTTCATGGATGGAGGTAAAAGAGGTCAGGGAGGTTAAAAAGAGGTTTGCTGCATGGCTCTCTGCATTTCTGATGAATGTGACCCTGCGCTGTCTTTCTGTTCACAGGGAAGGAGCCTGAGGTTATCACTATTCACCCACGCAGTATGTTCATCTCAGAAGAAGGATGGACCTTCTTAGCAGCAGGTAGGTCCATTGCCTAAGTGTAACCAGGGCCTTTGCATAAATACAGTAG